ATTTCTCACGAGGACTATTTACAGTCTTTTCTCGGCATTTTGTTCTACAAAAGCTACCTCCAATCAGCGAGTCTGAACCGCTGCTTTCATAAATGTGAGACCATTATTGAAAACACCGCTAGGGTGAAAACATAAAGTGTCACGTAAAGAACCATTTATCCAGTCCACATCGCTTAAGAAAATCATTTCTTATCACAAAAGCATCAACTTGATTAGCTTTAGGTTATTACTGATCACATATAAACATATAGAATAAGCAGAAAGGGTGTTCTTAGAAGATCTGGTAATGAAGACAGGTGACAAGCAAATTCTGGGAGCTCCTCAGGCTTCCTTAGAAGCTGCAGTCTGGAACTTCTCTCTTGCCACCACAGACAAAATATGATTAGTTACATGCTAATCTTCAAAAAACATCAAACTACTTCTGAAGGTTTCAACCTACTGTAAGTTCTAACAGGGCACGTAGATGACTGCCTCTAGTTGGGCACCAAGAGTGACTTTTCGTATTGAGCAGATCACACTGCCTAAGATATTGTTCTCAAACAGCAATTTGGAAATCTTTTACAAAGACATCAATCTTCCCTTACGTAATACTACAGTATCTAAATGCTTACTAAACTTCTGAAATCAATTAATGCCCTTAGCTAATTCTTGCCATTCTTAGATATGACTAATAATTTATCCCTCATATTACCAACCAGTCTTTCCAAGTCTGTTCAAATAAATGCTAAGACCTACTCTTAAATTTCTTGGATTTTCGTTGGATTTTTTTCAATATCCTTCCTACTATCAGATACAGTTTTATTTTCCAACTTGACCTCAGATAATAACAATGGTTTGGAACTGTCCGCAATGCCCAGCATTCCATAATCAATAGTGAGACACATGTTTGCTAAAGGGTACATCCCAGGCTCCTAAATAGATCTCTACTTCTGTTCCAGAAGCACAATTCCAAACACGGTCAAAAATCAGGGAGTTTGATCTCTCTGTATAAAATTAACAGTTATGTTACACTGAAAAAAAGCTTCTTGTCATTTAACAAGTCATTTCAGTTAAACAGTGCTGAAAAGAGCTTACATACACCTTAAAAATTGATATACTTGACTTCAAGTTTTTAAATTGATAAATTTGAAATGAAAACCAAACACAAGTTCCTTATGCCTACATAGCATGAAATCTTATATTAACTATTAGGAAAACAAAAGGAGCTAAAGACACCTTGACAAGCACTTGCTGGTTATGTACCAATAATGCCACCTACTGGCATGACAGATGATGCAAATTTTATTTTTCACTGATTTTAAAAGTAACTGAAGAGCATTATCTTCAATAGAGCATTAAATAGCATTTGTTCTCACTTCCTCTCACCTCAACCAGATGTTTTCCTTCACCACATATCCTGACAAGCAAGGGGTAGGATTAGAATTGTATTCTTTAATACTGACTCTAATTTGATCCTAATAACTGAGTCTAGAATGCAGTAGTCTTCTTCATAATACAATCTCACTGAACAGCAGCATTTACAGACTTAGAAAGTTAACTGCCAAATAGATTTTAGAAGACAGACATGTAATGAAGTTTTATTGGTTAGGCTCCTATTAAAAATTCTTTCATTTCCTCCAATACATACGTAATTACTAACTCTAAAAATGAATTCTAATCCTAATAATCAGTTGAAGCCCATGTACAGGAAGAATTTGAGCAATCTTCAGTTTAAGCAGTGAGTCAGGTCGATATTTCAAAACAAACCCAGCAGATAACACAACTATGTATTTTTTTCATTTTTAATCCCAGAATGGAAACAAATTAAAATAGCAAGCAAAGTATCCAAATCATGTTATCCTTGCCTCATAACTTCAGAGGTAATGGCCTCAAATTGTACCAGGGAAGGATCAGGTTGGGTGTTTGGAAACTTCTTCTCAGGAGTGGTGAGGCAGTGGCACAGGCTGCCCAGGGAGGTGGTGCAGTCTGTCCCTGGAGGTGTCCAAGAACCATGTGGATGTGGCACTGAGGGACGTGGTCAGTGGGCATGGTGGGGGTGGGCTGGCAGTTGGACTGGATGATCTGAGAGGACTTTTCCAGCCTTAATGACTTTATGATTCTCTAAGCAAGCAATTTTGATCAAGTCACTTCAGAACCTAATCCCACAGTTCATCTGTGCTCTTGTCCTATCTTTGATAAAGGGATATCTCCCTTTTGATTATCAGCAAAAAAGAGGTGATACAGCTATAAATCACAGTATGGGTGTCCTTAGAGCTTCACTTTAGTTCACAGTTTACATTTCTTAAAACATTGTTTCTGACTACAATGATTTATTAATTTAGAAGAAAAAATTATGAACAAGATTAGGAATGCCCTCCCTGAATACAGGATAATAAGCATCTAAGTCTTTAGAGAAAAAAAAAAAGGCAACTGGCTATTTTGATATGAGACACAGAAACTTATGTGTTCAATGGGATTTAGCATTTCTCCACACTGTCACAAGCTGACAGTAAATACAACAGCACAGGCCAAGCAAGAGCTATAAGATCATCTAGCTTTATAAGATTATCAACGGAAGGGTGGCTGAATACCACTACCTTTCCCTCTGTGTGTTAACTCACCATCAGAGACACTAGCAAAGCTGCTTTTTTGAAGTGCCTGGCATTGTCAGGATGTCCTGAAACAAACACATTTACATCATATCTTCTTCCCATTAAACTGCTTGGGAGCAGGGCTTTAATAGAAAACCATCTTCATGGCTACCAAGCACACGTGTCAAAACCTTTCACGGTGGCACTTGTGCCAAATCAAACGCTGCTGACTGGTGTCTGTGGATTTGTGCCATGAAAACCCTATCAGACTACAAGTTCAACAGACCTGGTACTTAGCGTGAAAGCTGCTCTAAGATGTAAATTTCATGCCTCGTCTCCTTAAAGACAAGTCTTCCAGGAGAACATGGACTTTCTCATCAGGACCCCCCAGGATCCAGACACACTGAAAACCTGCATTAGTTGTATCTTTTCATCCAGGGACTGGTAGCATCCTGAATACCAAAGATACTCCACAAAGTGCTGTCCTTTTTAGGGTTAATGAGGTGCTATGTTTCCTTAAAGGAAATACACAAGAGCTTGGGCAAACAGAAGTGAATTTAGAATGATTTCTGAATAGACAACCTTCTACCACATATAAAGATCAATACCTCTTACTGCATGCTAAATATGTTTTTAAAGCATGAGGAACATCAACTTAAGGGCATTTTACAGGTGGTACTCAAAAATCACTTGCAAAACAGATGTTGTAAAATTAACATTTTTACTTATTTGGACTATTTTATTAAAATAAATAAAGTCCAATATTGCTTTAAAAACAAAACTTGTTAGTTAAATCAGTGCGGGTAGAAATCCGAAGTTTTTCAAGTTGTAAAAATAAATGCTTAAAAGAGTTGGCTGAAACTTGAAGGAATGGTGTGGAGCTGCTGGAGGGGAGGATTAGGGAGATTCTTAACCTGGGGGTGACTGGCAACTGGAACACATTCCTCAGGCCAGTGATCACGGCACCAATCTGGCAGTTTAAGAAGCGTCTGGACAAACATTCAGTTATACAGTATGATCTTTGGGTGGTGCTGTGTGGAGACAGGAGTTGGACTCAATGATCCTTACAGGTCCCTTTCAACTCAGGATATTCTACAATTCTACAATTCTATGAAACAGGATACAGAAGACTAGACTTGAGATGCCTTGAACTGGACTACAGGTTAATCTGAGCGTGAGGGCAATCCATCAATGCACAAAGTCAATGGACTTGTCAACATGGAGGTTTATGAGAACACAGATAAGAAGCAGCAGGTGAGTCAGTCCAAATCAACTTTGCCCTACTTAGTACAACCTACCAAAGCACTCCATCTGTTGCACACAAATAAACCAGACTATCAGCATTTGGATGCAACAAAGAAAAACAGCCATTCCACCAAAATCTACTGTGAGATGACTGTGAACCACAAACACAATGTCGCACTGAGAAATACTGATACCTCCATAAAAACATGGCCAACGGTTGAGTTGGAACTATATATACAATTTGGGTCACTTGTGTTAAAGAAGGCTGATGAATGCAATAAAAAATGGTTAGACGACTGACCACGCAGAAAATCCAGAGGACATAGTATACATCTGATGACTAATCTAGAAAACAATCTGGCCAGCCAATCAAACTAGAAGCTTAAGATACATCATTGCTCTTTACAAAGAACAGGTAAACACACTGGAGAAAAGTATTAGACTGAAAAATAACACTGCCATCAGCAAATGCATGAACTGGCAAGAATACATTTAACTGGAAATCTCACTATGGAAACATCCCATAAGAATACAGAGAAGAAAAATCTGATTTTCATACATAGCATAATCAATTTACAAAAGATTATATGACATAGCTGTCTAGAACTGTAGACAACTGGAACTCACTGTATTCTGTTTTCTTTCCCAGTTATGTTGAACGTAACAGACAGCACATAACTCTTCTAATGTTTAGATTTTCTTAGTTTTCCGAGCCTACATATCCAACTGAAGTTTATAGCCTGTTTTATAAAACTGCTTGATTATATTACACTGTCATACAAGCACAGCCACTACGAGCGAGTCCAGAACGGTTCTGTTCAAATTATTATTTCAGACAGAATTGCATTAGTATGAATGCAGTATCATATAAACTGTCAGAACCTCTCTCAAACTACTGCACTCCTACATTTTTCCCATTTGTTAGAACATACTGCCCCAGAAGATGTATTTGGCCATCACAGCCTGCACACTTACATCACAGCTATTCTAATGTGAAGATCAAAATGCAGAATGGCAGTAAAACCACAACTGAAACTGGTCTTAATTAAAATATAGCTTGTTTGCTGAGCACGTAACATATAACTTAAGAAAAGCTCTACTAAAGCTAAGAAAGTAGATCAAAGCCAGTAACAAGCATAACAATCAACAATCAAGTAACAGTCTTACTAAAAATTGTGTTCTTACCTTTTCCAGGACTTAGGTTTTGGTCTATAAACACCTTAAGCTCTCCATTGGCTTCAATTAGTCCAGCCTATCAAAGAAAGTAACTTTTATTAAATTGACAAACACTGACAGCCTTTTATCGTCAAAGAGGGAAGAAATCACACCAGAAGACTCTGTTGCCACCACTCACATTTCCTCACTAATCTGCCACTTATGTAACCACACTGCTTGTGCTATAATATTAGCCAAACTTCAAAATCAACTGATTTTTATAATTACCATGTTCCTAAAAGCAAGCAGAAAATCAGTTTACACATACCTTGCTATTTTGTGTTCTAAGTTTACGAGGGTACATGCAGTGTCTTAATAGATAGCTGAACACCTTGCTAATTAGAACCACTAACATCTGCGACTGTATATTGTACTTTATAACAACTATCAACCTGCCACTGAAATCATGGCAGAACCAACAGAGGTGCTAAGTGCCTTATGTCACACTAAACAGAAAAATGGCATTAAAAACAAACACCGTTTGTTCTTCTTCTTTTTTTTCTTTTTAGGGATAAGAAAGCAGAGCTCTTAAGTGAAGGATTTCATCCAAGTGTATCAAATAATCAGCACCCTTTGAGAATGCTCAGTAGAAGCTATTAAAAATATATACTATTAATTCTGGATAGAAAATGCATGATGCAGTAACTCCTTGTCATCTTCAGACTAAGCAGTCCTGAAGGAAGAACAAATGCAGGACACACAGACTTTTTCCATTTAGAAAGAACAGTAAAAAATCCAACATTTGTACTCATCACAGTATAGCAAGTGGTGTTACAGAAGCTGAAATGTCCCTAAACTGTATCTTGTGCACTGTCAGTACTTGAGGGCTACTGCAGAGAGAGACAATTAAGTGCTCTGCTGTCAGTCAGCAGCAAAACTTTCCCCTCAGAAGGCTACCTGAAAAGCCATGCTGGTAATTAGCAAGTTCAGCAAACCAAGCAAACCACTAGAGGATGCTGTAGCGCTGCTACTATCCAGGTGTACGACAGCAATCAATTTTTAAGCCAGAAAGAACTTCACAAGGCAGGAAAGTGCTGAAAATTTTCTCTCCTCTCACTGAAACAGAAGAGGGGAAAAGTGGTTGATAGAGCACTAAGGACAGGCTGGGAGGTGAGCAGAAGAGAAATTTTGCTAAGGTTAGGATTAAGAGCAGAATTCTGTAATAGCATTGCAGAGATGAGGACCTAGTGGCACAGAGGAAACCTAAGTGAGGAGATAATGGAAGCAATGGGTAAAATGAAGAGCTTGTAGTATTTGTCCTTCTGTCTCATAATTCCCCCCCCCCCCCCCAAAAAAAAAAGCAATAGCCTGATTTAATGAGACTGCAACAACTTACCAGGACACAAACAATGCCTGCTCTCCACCTAGCCCACAGCAGGGATTCAAAGGTCAGCTCCAACAAACAACACTTCTCCTGCCCTACTCCTAAGCACCAGACCTACACAACGCCGCAGGTCAACAGACTACATCTGACCCTTCCAAAGAAAGATGCTATTCACTAACATGAAATCGCTAACATGTGCAAAGATGTTATAAAGCAGGCTCTGCAGCAATATAAACTTTCAGAACACCCAAACTCAATGTATTGAATCAGATGTGAAGACAAATTTGGAGGTATTACATTACGCGCCCAACCCTACCTCAGTTACACAACAGGAGTGCTAAACCACACAGGAAGCACAGTTTCACTGTCCCAATTCTTCTAAATGCAATCCTTCAGTTTCTATTCAACAACAGAAAGAAGAGGCTTGTGTTCCTAAGACATCCAATGGCTTTTCTTTTCATGAGAATGAGAAATATACCAATGAGGATGGAAAGATTTTTAATATGCAAAAGAAAACTTGCATCAAGTTTGCATATCAGTTAAAGTGATAAGCCAAATACAAATATTTACAATGTGAGCTTATGTAGGAATTCAAGTAAAAAAGGCAAATCACTACTGAATACTATTTCAATAATTAGCAAATTAGGTAATTCAGTAATCAGTTATTCTTTGGCCTCCCCATATCTTTATTTTAATTGGAACAATCTCCAATATAACCATTTCTATTACTTCATTTTATCCTTCAGTATGCTATCAATTAATACATTACATAATATAATAAGGTTCGTATTTCCTTCTACATCATGATAAACTACCAAAACCAATGGTCAACTCTAAGAACACAATCCAACGTTACCAAGGGTCAGGTTAGTGACCCTGGATCATGTTTCTGTGTGACTGAAAGCATGCAAACCAATGACAAAGTGGAAAACATTCAGGAAAAACATTGCATTTCAGTCAACAGCAGAATACAATTTTGGAAAATCTCAGAGAAAGACAATCACCAAGCAACAAGAACCCTGAGGAACCAGCAAACTGATGAAGACTACAGCAGTTAGAGTTCCACCACCCTGCACACCACTGTCTTGCCGAAGGTTCAGTTCAGGCAGTTACATGGCTGGTAAATATTCAACTTGAAAGCGTATGCCTAGGAAAGGCTCCAAGAAATCTGCCTGGGAAGAACATTACCAAATTCAATAGCAAGCAGCACCTCCAGCTGCTCTGATTCATAATGGAAGTTGATTTCATTTCTAGTGAAAATTCTCCTTCTCCAGGCTCAGTATGTGCACTTCACACTTCCAGATACAGTATTTGACTATGAGGTGATCAAAATTGTCACTATTTCTGAGTCTCCTCAAAGTCAGTAGCTTTTAGCGACACAGAACTCAAAAGCAAAACTTTCATCCCGTATAAAAATCCATCGTCTTTGTTCCACAACAGAACTACTAGGCAAAAAACTCTCAGTGCATACTTGAAAGAAATTCCCGCTATTTTACAGGGCAGTTTTTTTGGAAGGGTCCAGGATTACCCCTCCATAACCTACCCAGCACAGCGCCCAAAAGAATTAAAGTTGACCTCAGAGGGAAATGTGACCACAGCTCCCAGTATTTATATCCCACTCACAGATCCACAATGAATGCAAGTAGTACTCGGTTTTTGTTTTCCTCAATAGAAAAGTAACCTTTCACCAAGAAGGGTATCAACTTTTTCTGATGTGAAAACAGATTTAGTTTTCAAGCCTTATTGAGCTACTTGTATCAAGGTATTCTGATTTTTTTTTTTTTCATCTGATAACAGAATAAAAAGAAAATGTTTTCTTCTTCTCATGATTCTCAGCTTCAAGATGCATAACTTCCTTTGATGATAATGTCAGTGCTGCCTGGAGCAATATCACGATCTAAATATTTGATTCTGAAAGCTTTATTAACTGTCTGCAACTTCACAATTTAGAGTTGCTTTCCTCTTCAAAGAGGCACGCTAGGTACATAAACTTTTGCAAGGCTATGTAAATGAACTTTTTTGTGTTGGAAACAGGTAACAGGTACAAAACCCTTTATGCTTTTCACATTTCAACAAAACCAACAGAGATGTAAAAAGAAAAAAAGCAAATAGCTTTGGACCCTCAACACAGCATATAACTCCAGCAGCTGTTTCCAGCAAAAACTTTGATCCCCTTTCTGCTAAACACAAGCAGAGTAGATTAAAGACCAATGGACAAATCAGTAAATCTGCACATTTTAATTGTGGAAGCCATGCTTCAGTAGAGAACCCTACCACCACCTGGGATCCACCTCATCACTGTTCAGAACTTCTAAGGATAAGAAAACGACTGATAGGCTAAACATACTGAAGTTTCAATTGAAGTTAGCCTGCTATAAGATCATTAGCAGCCAAAAGGACTAGGAAGTCTATTTTTGCTTTGTTTCCAAGTAAAAGCTGAGAAACTATAAGTGGTCTCCAACTGAGAGACAGTAAACTGTGAAATAGTATTTTTTCTTGGACTAAGGTAAATCTGTAATGAAATTTGCTAAGAATGCAGAGAATTTCATTTGTTAAAAAAAAATCCCACACTGCAGACTGAGATATCAAGTCCTCTGATACTAGCTAGCTTGTATTTGTGATCTCCGAAGTCACACAGTAGAAATTCAACACCCTTACAATGAAAGCACCATTTCCACAGCCTTCCAGACTTGCAATTTTCTCTTACTAAAAATTGGTATAAAATTATTCATTAAAAGCTTTAAACATTAGAGTTTCTTGCTGAATTTGGACTGCAGAATAACTGGAGAGGTACATGCCTGATGTCTGTCAAGGCTAACCTGAGAGGAAGATCCCCCTGGTACAATGAGATAAGCAAATACAGAGAAGAGAAAGCTGCCTTTGTGCCATATAAATACCTTTTCTATCTCGCTTCTATGTAATGAGCCAAATTTTTAGTATGCTCCATGAGAAAGAGCTGAAAGAAGTGGGAAAGAAAAAAAAAAAAAAAAGGTGGAAATAAATGGAAACAGAGGCATTTGCCAAAAGGTATTTCTCAGAAAGTTTTCAGTTGCTAACAGCAAGATAAGACCACCAAAATGAGGCACAGAACTGGATTTGACAACCAAACAAGAAAAGTAGGTCAAAATACACAACTTTGCTGAAAGAATAAGAGTCAGAATAGGACAGCCGGAGAAACAAGCAGACAACATCGGCACTGACTGGGAAAGAATGAAAAAGAACTACAAAAATCAAATGTAAGACGACAGATGAGGAGTAGAGTTTAGTGTAGTTGGGAGTCTATTAAGAAGTACAGGAAACAGAAGTGATGGGAAACTAAAAGTTTTAAAAGAGCAAGGAGAATGGATCCTATGCAAAGAGTAAGAACATGGGAACAGGGATAGTGAACACATCCTACACTAAATTAAGCCACAACTACAGAGTATATAAACTGGGACTCACACTGAGAAGTAGTAAAGACACAACGAGGCAATGAAGAAATGAGAAAGGAGAAGTATTCCCAATAGAACAAATTTCCTCCTGGAGCTTGTCAAAGGCATCAGGAGGATGCTTCTACTGTCTACAGGCATTTGCAAAGTCAACTGGCAAAAACCCACACATCTGGAGCAAACTACTTCATTTGATCAGTACAGAGTACCAATCTCCAGGATTTCACGCTTTAAAAGTAAACAATAAACATAAAGGCACTATGCCATGCAATTTGATTGCGTGCC